ATTAATGGACGCCCTCTTATAATCATTTTGGCCTCAACAATCGCAAAAAAGCATACTGATGCATATTTTAACCATTTCCACTCGCGAATTCCGAGATTCGGCGGCATACGAGTGAAAACAGTTAAGTTGTATAGCTTATTTTAAACTTTTGATGAAAAATACGTTGGGTCAAACATTTGAGTTTTATGTTACCAGATATTTTACGTAAATTTGTAGAAATTCATCTTATTTACATTATGAGCGCTACATTTCGAAAATGTTGATCGCACGAAATCAATATCTTCAGATAACATTATATTAACGAAAGTTTGATTTCATGATTACTCCCAAATTGTGAATGAGTGTGGAAATCAAGACAATCTTACGATAATCATAAATGGGATTTATAAAATTTTCGAACCGCGTAACTGATGAAAATGATTTTTTCTGGTTTCTTTATAATTTCCGAATTCAAACTATATCATAAACCATGCAAAATTCTCGAGTATTGATTGATTATTTTGGCATTTATAAGTAATGAAAATTCTTATTAATACGCTTAAACAAATGCAATAGCTCTTCCATACAATAGAACAAGCCTTGCTTGCATTTCATCACAAATACACATTTTACAAAATTCATCAGTTCGGCCAAAATAATATCTTTATCAATATAGTGATTATATATTATTTGCGCATATATTACACGATATTTGAAATATTTTAATAAACATTTAACATTTGTACATCATATTGATAGTATTACACGAAACATTGATGAAGGGCTTCAGATTTTTAAATTATGAACAACGAAAATAATATAAAAGTGCCATTAAGGGGTGAATTCTCCAGTAAAATAGACCGTTGTTATGGCAACGCTTTGTTATGCTGCTTTCTTCATATTCATTCGCAGTAAAAACTGACAAATTGCTTTGTATTTGCAGAGCGATCAGGTGTTTTAGATATAAAACCAAAACCTAAAAAACGCAAAATCAGAAGTACATCTTTCTGATGTGTCGTGATAAAACATACGTGAAGTTCGTTTTTATGTGTGAAACACCTGATCGCACAGCAAATACATAGCATTTTTTTACTGCTAATGTATATGAAGAAAGCAACGTCTGATTGACAGAAAAATTGGCCCCTAATTCGCATAAGATACAAAATACTTCATATGAAAAAGAGCTGAAGTCATAACGAATAAAATTGTTCACACTAAACTAAATTTTACATTAGAAGTAAACATAAATTAATCTAAAGTTGCACAGATAATAATATAATATACATAAATTTTTTTATGCATCTATTGTACTACAAAACAGTTTAAAGGATGTAAAATCTTTCTATTGAGTGATTTTCTTATATTTATTTAGTTACAGAAATATTTTACGATATTTAACGTGTTCTCAAAATTGAGCAATCATTCCACACCTGACAAACAAGTTGTTTTGTCGATAAATTTGGCATCAATTTTGTTTACGCGAACTTGTAGTCTTGCATCACTTTCACTGCACATTAATAAGGTAGCTGAGCTGATGGCAAACATTTTTATGAACGTCGTAGAATAAAATTTACTATATTGTAGCTTACTCTAACGAGTATCTCTTACAACTTTTATGAACTGTTGTTGAACAAAAGATATTTCGCATAAAAATTGTAAAGTATTTATACTTTCTAGTACCATTGCAAAGTTGTCTTAAGTTTTGCGAATAAAATATAATTATTTGTTACAAAAATAATCAAGAAACATCACATTTTTGACTAATAAGACTAACTCAATGCACTAATTTCTCAAACAAAACTTTATTGAATGTAATTAATTTTAACAAATACGTTTTAGAAAATCGCACTGAATCGAATAAACATGCCGGAAATAATTCAGAATTACATAAAAATGACTCATAGTCATATTGTGTTTTGATCTCAATAATTGTAAGCATGACCTAAATATACACCTATTATGATGGAAGCAAAATGACTTATTGATTAAGGTACTTGTCTGTTTTAATCAGTAATTCACAAATTCAGTAATTCACAAGTCAAGTAATTCAACTATAAGAATCAGTATGAATAATGGTATTTTGGTGCGTACGAGGTGTGTTCAAAAAATACCCGGAATTTTTGAATCGCTCGCTTGTGAATAGTCTTGTTGTCATTTTTTTATTGCGTTGGAATACATGCTCCTAAAGTTTGATAAAATTTTCAGCCATATTCACTATTTACTTTGTTTGTGATAGTCGCTAAAGTTCAAGGTGCTTTTATGACTCGGCGGTTTCTGCTAATTGGAAGAATTGAAGAGTCAAAGAATTTGTATTAAATTAATTGTAAAAATGAAAAAAGATAAAAATAAAAATGTGTAACAATTTATGTGAAATGTTACAATAAGCAAGCCCAGTTACAATAAAAACAAGTGTGTCAAACCAGCATGTCAAAGCAGATAATCGATAAAAATGTTAAAAAAGTGAAAAAAAAAGGATTATGAACTATCGTCGAATCACAATTAGAGAAGTTGCTGATAAAGTAAGCATATTAATTGGGTCTTTTCACAACATTTTTTCAAATGTTTTGGGCATAAAATTGTTCACGCACCTGCACACTTGTCATCGCTTGTTTCTATTTTTTGATCAAAAACAATTCCGTAGTCATGCCTCTAAATCTCCATATTTCCCAGATATGGCTTTGTGTGACTTTGTTCTGTTCCAAAAGTTAAAGAAACCCATGAAAGGTCGGCATTTTACTTCCAAAAGCACAAATCTCCCACCCATAAAAACACGTCGAAGCTCAGCGACTACCATAGTAGACTAAGTAAACAGTAGATGAATTAAATTAGATGAAATTAGATTAAATTTTATAAAACTTTAGAAGCATGTATACAAATACAACAAAAAAATTGACAATCAGACTCTCCAGACTCGAAAAATTTAAAAGTTGCGTGTACTTTGAGAACACCTCTTACGTGAATAAAAACGCATTAGTTGAAATTAATGTCGTACAAATTCATTTAAACATAGGCAATATAATACGAATTCATAGAATTGAAAATTAATATAGAATTATATATTAATGTAACCATCATCTGCTAAGCTATGAAATAGCATGTCGTCAAATATGCGTCAAAGTACAAAGTTTTACATTCACACTGTACCACACGTCAACCCACATTGCATATTTTTATCACAGACGTATCTAAAATCTGCAACTAAAATAAATTAATAAAGAAAATCAAACAACAATTAACCCTTTCTACTCGGATGTATGCCGCCGCCACTCCGGCGGCAAAATACATATAAATCACGCAATTCGCGAGTGACAAGGGTTAAAACAAACTAAATTCACATATTTGCATAAATAGATTTAGAAATAATAAATCACCCATTGCAAATATTCGAAATAATTTGTTAATGCTATATCAAACGAAACATATTAAAACCTAAAATACTCCTAAATATACCAACTGAATAGATTACTTGTATTATGGATTCATATCTTAATATAAAGGTACATATTATATCACTGCTTATTAAATTTGCTCATCATTTATTTGTGAAATCGCATGAAAATATAGATATATCTAAGTGGACTTTTTTATATAAAGAAATATAATGAATGTATAAATCTGACAAGAGTCACCCGTAAAGTTTCACCCATACACCTAAAATAATTTGTAACTTTCCACACCAAAATAATAACCTTATAAAAAATATTGTAAAATATATCTTTGACTTATATGAAGTAACAGAAAAATAGTATCGGTCAAAAATATATTTCAAACGTAGGTAACTATTTGTTTCTCAAAAATTCAGTTCTTTTTAAATCTATACTAAATCCTCACTGTCATTCAAAATTTGAACTCACGACCTAGTCTCAAGGAAGCATTTCAAAGAGATTCATATAAACTATAGTTTTGTAACATTCCTATATAATAACATAGTTAATTTTAAAAACAAAATTGAAAATCTTTTATAAACAACCCGGAACAACATTTGGGATCACATAACATTACTGATGTTTTTGTGAAATAATAACATCTAGAGTTACTAATATAATTTGTAATATGAATAAAATCATGTTTAAAATCCTAAAATTACTAGAAACAACCACCAGTTTCTATAAAATGTAGAAAGTAAATTTATTTCGACTTATAACCAAATGTTAAAAATTTGTCGAGTGATTACAGATTTGTCACAAATTTCTAGCCTATTTGTATGACTGCCTATTAAATAATATCACTGCGCCACAAATAGTGTTTAACAGTACTTTAATATAAACATAACTATATCTACGACTGACAAATATGAATATAACAATTGTACATCAAAGCGAAACAATGTGTTTGTACATGACATAGGGACTATCACACAGATTCGTGTGAAAAGTTCTTTAGAACTTTCTACTAATGCATGCTATAGATTCAATATCGATCACTAAACAGTAATTCAATATGAAATGTTATAAATTTAGTGCAAAATACTGTCAAATTATCATTTATGTTATTTTTAGAAAGTTAAAAATTAATAAGGGAAATATATATAACGTTAAATATACAGGGTGTCCCAGGATTGATCACAACTATCATGGGAATTTTTAGAAAAAAGAATCATTAAAACTATGATCTCTTAAGTGCAACCTATAGCTTTGGTGAAACTGTGACCATTTGTTGATTATAGTGGTTAATTTTTATTAATTTTGTTTATCTAAACCTTGAATCGGTAATGGAAATTACATTGCTAAGACCATTGTAAAAAATAATAGCATAATTGCTTTAAGTTTGTAAGAATTAAGACTTTTTGTTTAACAAAATAACAAATTAACTTTTGTTCAATAAACTCAAAATTTTCTTCTTTGAGAGGCTTTCATTTGAAAAAAAAATGTATTAAAGTATGTTGGAAAATATCATCAAAATTTGATTCATTTTATCAGTATTGTAAAATGTTAAAACACTTTCATAATAAAAAAAATAAAGTAAAATAATAAAAATCTAAAAATAAGGGATATAAGATGATAGAACTTCCCACTATACCTTAGTACATTTTTTAAAGGAAAGGCTCTTAAAGTAGACCAACTTTCAAAATATGTATTAAGTATACATAATTAACAAAAGTCTTAATTCTCAAAAACCGGTACACCCTGTATATTAAAATATAATACTACAACAGCGCCAGATTTGACAATAAAATGAAGAAGGAAACATATCGATGTCACAATTTTGACACCATTGTCAATTATATGCATAAACCAGAGCACAAATATAATGAACCAATTATCTAACTCTAAATAAACGATGAATCTTATTCATGCATCACTCATCGTTTAGAAACATGAATCTACAGCATGCTTTGGTAGTTTTCAATTAGAATTCTTATTTCAACAGACGTTGGTCAAAAACAAAGAAATGATCTCCAAACCGTTTCAGCAAGTGGCATCAACTTCCATCTGAGCTATTGCTATTGCAATCTTCGAATTCAGGCATAGACAACATTCTACGATTCTGCAAGTAATTCAGTGACTTATCACCATTCTGAAGCTGATGGTTTCCAACTGCCCTCGACCTGTAAGCCGCAGATTTCAATCCAGCAGGTGGTAAAATTTGAGGAAGTTCTAAGATGTTCGATATTGTAAAATCTGGCTGAATAGACTCGTGCTCAACAACGCAATTCTTGTCTAATGGTAGCCAGATGGTTAATCCAAGTTCTGCTTCAATACCGCCCTAAGATTTTAATTTTTGCACTTCGTTTAGATTTTTTTAATAACTGATAACATTATAAATTATAAATAATGGTGAAAATAGCATGATCGATGGATTAACTTTAGCACTGAATTCACATTTTGCGCATACATAGTGTGCTTCATAAATGTGTAGTGGCAAAATGAAAATAATTATCAGAGAAGCAAAACTTTTCACGTTTAGGCGTCCTTGCATTAAAATAAAAATATTATGATATAGAGAACGCCTCGTTTTTTGCTCACTTCTCATGGGGTTTCACGAAAGTTTGCGACATATTCAAGTTTTATTGGCCCATTCTCAAAATCATAAGCGATATGTGAACATCAACCACGATTTATTACAATACATCACATACGCCTATCAAACGTTTAAAAAAAGTAAAATATTCAAAATACCTACTAGTTTTTTCAGTTTGTTAGGCTTTTTCTATAAACATATCGAAAAAGTTTTGCTTTGTCTCAGCTTCATTAAAAGAAAGAATAAAAATGTACGAAACTTTTGCAAGGAAAAGAAAAAGGGCGCAGGCCTTTTCAACTAAAATACTACAAATAAAAATAATGAATCAAATTCTAATATGATATTCAAAAATGTACAACACCTCGCAAGAGGTATTTGTTACCAGTGCGATTTCAGAATACTAGAACAATAGATTGTCCTTAATTTTTTCCTGGAACAAGATATTGCATTAACATGGTACATATTTAAATGTTAACACAGAAAGGAAAACAGATCAAATAAAATAATCGGCTATGTTTTATAATCAACCTGGTTTGATTATTCCATTCTTATTTGCTTTTTTAAATCACAAATATTGAAAAAAGTTATTATAAAATAGTTGCCGTTAAATTATTGGTAATATCGCGAATGTAATTTTGATAATGCCGCAAATTATTATATTAAAATTAAATCTAGCCGTTTAACTTGCCAATATTATTAGCGTTTGCCTAATTATAACTATCAAACTAGTTATTTATTTACGTATTGTATGTTTTATTTTATTAAAAAATATTGCTTAACAGAATAACTTAAATCATCAGATGTATAACCTGCAGTTAATTTTAAGGGGGTATTCTAGTGCAGAAATTCAAAAAAATCGTTTTTTTTTATTTCATATTTTCAAAGTTTAATTATCTAAGAATATGGGTACGAGAAGGTTTTTGAAAATTTCAATTATTTTCGGAGATATAGGCATTTTACTGACTCGGTCTCCATACTGGTTTGGCTTCACGCAAAACTTTAAATGCGTTTTTCTCAGAACAGACTTTTTCAGTACTGTTGACACGATTTCTCGAGCTCTACTCGACCGATTCACTTGAAATATTCAGAGAGTCTTGTTTATAGACCTATCAATAGCCCGAACTATGATTATCCCCAAATTCCAATTTTTACTATTTTTAAAAAATTTAAGAAACTCAAAACACAGTAAAAAAAACACTTTTTTAAAACAGTCGCCAATTTGTAAAAAAAATTCTTTTCACTCATCGCTAGTTCGGGCAATTGCGACATCATTGTAGATTAATAATATTTTTATTTTTTGCATTTCCGATGGCTAGGAGGGCTGGAATCATGTCAAGACTGAGGTGCCAATTTTTTGAGACCACCCACTTCATCAGCTGCCAGTTTTTACAATTTTCAACTTTTCTATTTTTTAATTTTGGTTTTGTATTTTAATAATATTAATAAACAAGTGGTAAAACAATGGATAGTAAAAACATTCATTGCTTTCTTTTACGACACTTTAAAAATGACCTAAAATTCATCGCTCTATACTAGAATATCCCCTTAAATTAAAATTGCACACGGGCGTCCCAAATGGTTTTCGAAATATAGATTGCAAAAACAAGAATTACACAGAGACTCATTTTCTTTGGCAAAAGCTTGAAAAACCTTTTGTCAGTTTTGTCCATATACTCAAAGAGTCTGTAAAAAATCTCTTTATAGCCTCATAGGTAAGGTAAGGCAATTACATTTCTTTAATTTGTATGTAGGCAGACAAGTATTTATCAAATAAATCCAAATCATTAATATATTTTTTGTACTCTGTACAATATAATCATAGCGTTTTCTCTCCCTGAACCATGAAAATCCATTCGACAACAAATTAGTATTACCTTAGGATGCAAGAAAACTACCCAACACCTACCTGTATGTCGGTCTCCAATTTGTCGCCAATCATCACGCACCGTTTTGGCTCAACGCCAAGATATTTGCATGCTTCCAAAAATATCTTCTGATCCGGTTTCGCCCATGGTAGATCACCCGAAACTATAATGCAATCGAATAAACTTGTCAGATTCAATCTCTCCACTTTCTCCCACTGGGCGGAACTTGGGCCATTTGTGATCAGGCCCAATAAATACTGCTTGCGTAAGCTGATCAGCATCTTTCTGACGTTGTCGTCGATCGAAAGATAATAATATCGCAATTGCAACCATTTTAAATAGACTCTCTGCGTTAAATGGTTGTATTGTTCGGTGAGACTCTTAGACCAAAGATGGCAGCGCCACGTGTTTAGGTCGCATTCGAGGTTGTCGGGGCAGAGACGAAATGATTTCACATAGTTCTGGGTAATTAGGGACGCCTGCTCGCGAGATATGTTGTGCTCGTCGTGCAGTAATTCGGCAATCTGGAGAATAAATAAACAAGATTATCAGAAAAATAATCCCAAGTTTTTCAAGATTTTCGCACTGCATATCTACTTTAGACATGAAATATCAAAGCGCCTCAGCGCCGCTTCGGCGCGTCGATTAAACAATATAAATCTTGGTACACAAACGTGAATAAAATTTGTACTTATTGAAATCTTTATAAAAAATCTGATAATTTGATGTGCATATGTCTGATGATCATTGTTGACCGCCAAATGGCTTTTTTTTAACTTCCCGTAGGGTAAGTTATTGTAATGGGCCGAAAATCGGAATTGAAAATTTTTACATTTCTCGACGTTTTGAAGGTTTCTGAACGTTTTGGCATACTTCAGAAAAAATGGATGTGTGTGTGTGTGTGTGTGTGTATGTGTATGTATGTATGGATACAAATTTTCGCCCACGTTTTCGGGCGTACGGATCAACCGATTTAAATGGTTTAAAAAACATTCGATTCCTATTGATAGGGAAAAGAGCTGATTAGTTTTTGGCGAAGGCAGGTCCAGCCGTTTCGGAGATACGGAGCAAAGAGTGCAGAAAATAGAAATCTAGTTTTTGAGTGAACGGAGCATCCGATTTGAATGATCTAAAAAACATTCAATTAGTAATGATTGGGAGAAGGGGTTATTAGTTTTTCGCAAAGGCAGGCCCAGCCATTTCGGAGATACGGAGCTAAATATGTAAAAAATGTCAGTTTTTGAGAGAACTAAGCGTCCGATTTGAATGATTCAAAAAACTTTCTGCTTGTCTTAACAAAATAATTGATTTTGGAAAAAAAAAATTTGTTGCATTTTTTTTTTTTTTTTAATTTTTTGTTTATCGAAAATAATTCAGATTTTATTTTTAATTCTGACTATAATTCTAATATACTTTAAACAAATAATTTCAACTTTGCAATTCAGTTTATATAATTCTTATAAATATTAGACAATGTTACAATATTTATAATAATCTATTTGAAAACATTCAGTATTCCTCGAACATTTCGTTACGGTACGGGAAGTTCCAGCAATTTGCCTTAAAGCATGATGCCACCCACCACGCTAGTTAACATTTTGTATTGGATCTCCAAAACCGTTTCCAAAAATATAATCGCATCTTCATTCTATCAATACAAGTGGAACGTTTTATGTATTATTCAAATCAGACGCCCCGTTCTCTCAAAAACTTAATTGCCACTTTTGCACTTTTTGCTCCATATATTAAAAACGGCTGGACCCGCCTTTGCCAAAAACTAATCAGCTTGTCTCCCCGTCAATACGAATCAGATGTTTTTTGAATCGTCGATAAAAAATTGTATACAATCATACACACATACATATTAGTGCATACACACAACCGATATAACCATTTTTTCTAAGGTAGGCCAAAATAAACAGAAACCTTTTGAAATCTAAAGATATGCAAAGTCAAAAATGTTCATTTTCGATTTCTTTGTATAATTATTCTTTAAACAAGAAAATCACGTTTCTTATTTGTAATATTCTAATGGTAATTTTGTATTTATAATACTGCGAATAACCAGTCTAGCATTTTCGGCGATCCAATAAAATTTTTTTTAAAAAAGCCATTTGGCGGTCAAAAATGTTCATTAGACAAATATCAAATTATCAGTTATTTTATAAAGATTTTAACAATAGATACATATTTGGTTTACCTTGTTATGGGTTCCGTACCAAAATTTATAATGTTTAATCGTTAGACTATTCACCATTAGTTGTAAAAAGCTTTATAATTCATTTGATTTGATTTATATTAATATTTTTTTCTTTTTTTTGTAAAATTCTATAATTTAGTGTTTCAATTTTCTAAATCAGTGTTTTTTCTTTCACTTCATAAACAAATTGCAAATCGATCTCGTTCACTGATTATTCCATACTATTATGACCTCCTGATCTATTACAAACTATGTATATTAAAAATGTAGGGAATAAAGTATGCTTAATAATTATTAATAGAATATGTAAGATAATTAATTCTTAAGAATGAATATGTAAATCATTAAATGGTACATGAAATTTTAAAAAATTAAATATATTATTGAGACTAATATTCCATTAAATTAGAAAATCAAATAAGCTATCTATATAGCATTTTTTTATTAAGATTCGTGCAGAGTTTAATGACCCCCAAAAACTTTATTTTTAGTTTGCAGTTGATCTTGTAAAATTTATTACAGGATATTCTTTGAGAACTACGACATTCACAGTAAACTGGAATAATTTCGAATATATCTGTGAATTAATGATTTTGGTATAAGTTAAATTAAAAATTTTGATTAAAAATGAACGGCGAATAATTGCTTTAAATATTTTTTATTAACAATAAATACATAATGACTAGCATACAACTTATACATACAATTATCAAATTCATATTTGCAACATTAATGTAACTAAGTGTAATATATGAATATTAATATTATTTAATATTAAACTTGATCGTTGCTTAATTTGGTATTGGATATATTGATGAATTAAACAATGATCAAGCATTTTTATAATTGAATATTGGATATCTGCCAATATTTTAAATTTCATTTTATAGCTAAACAAATCTGTTGAATCATTAAATCATGATCAAAAATAACTGCTCGTAAACACATCTTAAAAATGTAATGACCTCACTGTACAAACAAAGATCTCATTCTAGAAAATAATTGTATACATTTAATTCATAAATCGACCTATTGACAAATATAATTCAAGAATTTCAACCTGTCAAATGCATATAGTAAATATTTAAACTATCAAAATAATTGATAAATTCATTAGTTGCATAGTATAGATGATTTAAACCTACATTTAGTTGGTTAGATTTACAAATTTTTTACCTCATTTAACTCGAAGAAAATTGAAGATAGGTTCGATAAAAAGTATCAAAACTTAAAATAACGTATCTGAGCAAGTATTTATGCATTTATCTCTCTTTAGTATACTAAAGGGATAAGTACAAAAAAAAAATTAAAAAAGATAAAATATTCAAAATGTGATAAAATGCAGGATTAGGTAATTTTTATGTTTAAAAAAACAATGATAAATTTTCCATAAAATTTACAGGAGACAGCTTTATAATAAAAAAAGCAAATATATTAAAAAATTTAAAACAAAATGAATCCCATCCCATCTTGCACTGTTATTGCACTGCGATGCTGGAGTAAACAATTTTTTTGATGAAAGAAGTTTATAATAAAAAAAATCCTTAAATCAGTTCACTAATATTTTTTTTTGAATAAATATTTTAGTATATTTATAAATATTTATTTTACAAATATTACAAAAATATTGTCAACATTTCATATGCTTTGAACTTTTAAGCCTTAAAACAAAAACAATTAAACATTGTCAAAAAAGTACTTATATTATAAATATATATAAAAATATTTTCATAGCCTAATTAAGTTTTTATATTGTTATTTGCATTAAAAAATTTAATCTCCAAATAATTTTTTTCCCAACTCCATCAATCTGTGATTTCTACATACTTTCAAAGCATCTGCTTTCTTAAGTACATCAATAACATTTTTGTTTGCATCCACTAAATGGCATAAGAAATCTTCATATGCAGATTTGACATCAGCCTGTAACGATCCAATACGAACTTTCTTAAGTGTTGTTACAATTCCCTCTGCCCAACCACTTTCAACAGCAAAATCCGATATCCATGGGACCAAAGGTAAAACAGAAGACATTGTTTGCATTCCTAAAAACCACAATTCCATTAATTCCATCCAGTATTCTTTATAGGCTAAAGAAACAACTAAGGCAAATGGGTCATTGCTTTCATCCAAATTGTAAGCATCCCACAAAAATCTAATAGATGATTGGATAAAACTGCATATGGAAAAATCATTTTTCTTCAATTTTTTATGTTGTGCTTTTAAAAGCAGTAATCCAAGAACAGCCAAGTGACCTTGAAGAACTAAATTTTCAGGAGTACCACGCAATTCAGGAAGACTACTGAAGATGAACTTGAGTAATGTGCCAAAGAGAGCGCTTTCTTCAACTGTTTTTGCTTCCAATACTGTTATATTCATAAAAATATTGCATAGGCTCACCAGTGCTGCTCTCGAATCTTTCATATCAGCAAGTAATTGAGGATCCAAAGGCGCTTCAGGTTGCGATAAAGCTTTCAACCTATCAGCTTTTGGTATAGGTGGCTTCTTATAATGCGCAATTGACCAATGGTACACCATACATTCATAAAGAACTTCATCTTGTTTATTTGCTAGCAATATATCCCTTGCCCGATCTTCTACTGCCAGGTGACACAAAGCTGGTAATAACATTCGGAGAACATCTGCATCAGATTCAGTTTGATTTTTATCCTGACTAAGCCTGTGCGTTCTTGCAGCATAAAATGTGTCATTAGCTAATTGAAGCATATATGGTAACAAAGCGTACACAGCCGTTCTCATGGCCGAAGTTTCTGTGGCTAGCCAAACAGCTAAAACACGCACCATGGCACAAACAAAGGATTTTTCTTTTGGAGGTAACTTATCTTTGTTCTTATCATTTGATACTTTAGTTAAAACTGATATTACAGCTGAAAAGGCACCTTTCAATGCTGTGTATATTGTTTGCTTTTCCTTTTGTTCCAAATCTAAAGTATCATTGGCCATATAAGCTACAGAAAGTTCTAAGATTATAAAACATGCTGAAATTAAATCACCATTTGCCAAAGCTTGCTTTAAACTTTTGTCATCCATCTGCATACGAACTTCAATTGCACTGAGTTGTAGGAGAAGCAGAAAGAATTGCTTGGGATTTTCTTCATTTCTCAATGTCCATTCCACACCTAAAACATCAATTACAGCAGATGCAAGTTTCAATGCTGGGTCTCGTTGGTTTTTACCAATGCGGCTGCCCAATATATCACTTAAACCTTTAAACAAGCTGCCAGGCCAAACTTCAGTGTCAGCCGTTCGACCAACAATGCTACGTCTACAATTAAATAATAGAGCTCCAAGTATCGAACACAAAGTAAATTTTCTCTCTGTGTGATCAGTTTCAAAATCCAAGCAAATACGATTTAATAAAGCATGAAAATTTTTAGGATCTAAATCCCAAGCTGAAGGGCCAAATTTACTGACCAATGTAACTATTAAATTCAGGGCTTCATCAGTCTGAAAACTTTGTTGAGCATATATTTGAGACATCTTACCAATAGCGCCTCCTTCAAGCAATGCTTTCTGCCCAGGTTCATATGAAGCTATGCTCTGAAGACAACTATAAGCTTCGCTAACAACAATCAGATTATCATCGTAATCATCATCATCAGCTGTTTGAACTATATCCAAGAAAACTGGAATGTTTTCCAACATTTCTTTATGTGTAGCGAGTTCTTCATCTTGACAAAAACATGTAAGTATTGATAAAGCAACACTCTTATATACAAGTGGGGGACAATCTTCGGGAACATCGGCACTTAGTAATAACTTCTTCAAAAACTTGAATCCAATGGCTTCGAAGAGAGCCTTCTTAGCAACTGTTGTACAATCTTTACCCTTCACTAACTTTGTCACCATAAATAACGCGGCAAATTTTTCCGTGTCGGTTTTTGCACTTTGTAAAATAAGGATACATTTTTTAACAGGTTCAGATATTGAATCAGCCATGGTTAATGAACACTTAAAACATTAATCCAGCCAGCGAAGCGGTATGTAACTAAATGCGTTTAAGAGATGAAAGTTAGGTTATTTATAACTTACGATAGAGAGCGATCCGGCCTATATTGGGAAATGTACGCGTCACTAAAACTTCGACTTTCCAGCATAAACTATATTACATCTGTGCACAAACACTACGAAATATCAATGTTTTCATGTTTATTTTAAAACTTGGCACCAAAATAGAATGTGTTGAAGCCATTTTTAGGGAACTGTCAAAACACTCTGCGACATCTTTGAGCAATCGCTAAACTCGAAGCGGCATCTAGCAATATTTTTGGAAACAATGAAATAATGAAGAAAAATCAAAAACGCGATTACAAAATGTAGATTGTTACTACATATATGAATAAAGTTTTCTAATTCACATATTTTTTATGATTTGCTAAAAGATTTTGTTAAAACACATTACCGCCATTTTGTACAACTGTCAAACGCACAGCGCCATCAAACGGTTCATTTGGAAAAACGCGGTTTCAACCAACAACGAGGCAAAAATGACATGAGCACTGCTGCGACAAACTTATAAAATAATTTACAAAAATAATCATGCAAAATTGTTATTTTTATGTACCTTCATACAAGCCAATGTATCCGCTTTTCTTGTCGGTATCAACGTGTTATCTAAGTCGAAGAACAATGCTGATATCGCATTTTGTTTCTGAGCACGCGAAGCTGCCATCTTTATGTGTCAGGGCACTATTGTCAAATGATAATGGACTCAGCCGCAATGGTTATGGAAGCTAGCAACTTTTCCGGCAACGGAATCGACCAAGATCAATACTTAATTCTAACCAAACAATAAAATTATCTAGTTTCTTGCGAGAATGCGCGAACTTTCTGCGCAAACTATTATCTGTATTTGTATTTTATTAGATTTTCTATATTTATAGAAATTGATAATTTTAAGAACTATTGAAATGCGACATCGCAGAATTATTTCACATACAACGGTGAACAAGAACAACGCATGCGACAGACCCGGGACAATTGTCTATATACGAGTATAACGGTGAGGTTTGTTTTTTCTGTGCAACCTCAACAAACTAATAAAGTTATTTATCGGAATTTATTATAATTTTGTCAAAAACATTTCTTATCGAAGGTTTGATTTCGAATTGTCTCTTAATTCTTCATAAAAGCTTTAAATTTAAAACAAACTAAAGATTAAGGATGGCATGCCATTTGATTAAATGTTAGCAATGAAGTAAATTATTACACACATAACAGATTAAAAACTTAGCATGTTAAATATTTTAAAATTGATCACACACTATTATTTTCAATAAATTTTAATAATAAACTATGATTTATTTAAAAGTTATAGTGAGTAAAATTTATTCTGAGTACTCAAAATTGGTCTTACAAGTTCTTATATACATAAAAAAACAAATATTATTTCACTAATAAGTTATTATTCTTCATTTATTTAAAAAAATGAAAAAAAAAACGTTTATATATAGTTAAATATTTTTTACCGTGTAAGATAATTAAATTGAACATGTGTATTATGCAAATTTTATTCGATTACATTTCACTTACATAAATATAAAGCGCAGAAGTTAAAACTAATTAATATTGTGACGTATTTTCTAATCAATAACAAAAATATTGTCGATGTTTGATATGTAAAATAATAATATTCAATAAAACTAATATTAACAATCGAATAGGATAAACAAAAAATAATATTTGCGTCCTTATGTACGGGTAAAAAACTATCTAAAATATCATAAATATTATAATTTTGTTAATATAAATAAAAGAATAATATCAATACTTATATAATATACGAAAAGTGATTACATTTTTAGGTTATAACAAACTAGGGAAAGTGAAGAATGCAGAGTGCAAGTCTATAAAAATTATATAATGTCTTAGAAAATATAGAAACACATATAGAAACAATTCAAAAACATAAATTTTACATAGCAATTAGAGTCAGTCTTGACGATGAAAAAAAATATAGTTATGATATAAAAACATATCAAATAAAAATTTATATTTTTGTAAACGATCAGATTTTTTAATATAGTTTTGTTCATTTTTAAGAAATATATTATTAAATTATTATACTTCTACACTTGCATCAAATATTTGAAGTGAGAATTAAAAATAAGTTATCACCAGTTAAGACCATGGTTTCCAACCTGTGGGGACCAACCCCTCATGGGGGGTTAATTTAACAAAAATGTTAAATAGATATAAAAAATTAATAAATAAATAATAATTGCTTGTGTATATTTTTACATAATATTGTGCATTTATATATAGCCTGATAAATATATTTATAAATTTATTATTATAATAATTTATAAATTATAATATCAACTGAGTATTTATAAAATCACGTTGCTAGAAAATTTAAGAGTGTCGCAACTATAGATAAATAAGTATAAATCTTTAGCATAAATAAGATCGCAACATCTTTCTTTAAATAAGGGGGAGGGGGTATGAAAAGGTTGGAAACGACTGGCTTGTGATATTGAACTTAAAGGGACTAACAACTGCTTTCAATACTTTTTATTAGTATTGATAATATTTGGTTTATTAGCACTTTTAATTAACTTTCCGTAGGGTAAGTTATAGCAATGGGCCGAAAATCGAAAATGAAAATTTTTGCATTTCTTCGCGTTTCAGAGGTTTCTTTGGCATACCTCAGAAAAAATGGATGTGTTCACGTTTTCGGGCGTACTGATCAACCGATTTGGATGATTAAAAAAACATTCGATTCTTATTGATAAGGAGATATGTTGATTAGTTTTTCGCAAAGGCAGGTTTAGCCGTTATGGAGATACGGAGCAAAAAGTGAAATCGAGTTTATGAGAGAACGGAATCATCTAAAAACATTCAATTTGTAATGATTTGGAGAAGTGGTGATTAGTTTTTGGAAAAGGCAGGTCCAGCCATTTCGAAAATACAAGAGCTAAATGTACAAAAAGTGGCAGTTTTTGAGAAAACTAAGCATCCGATTTCAACAATTCAAAAAACTTTCTGCTTGTGTTGATGAAATAATTACTTTTGAAAAAAAATCAATTTTTTTTTTGAATATTGAAATTAATTGAGATTTCAATTTTAATTCTGTTTAAAGTTCTAAAGCTCACTTATATATTTTAAGTGAACAATTTTAATTTTGTAATTTAGTTTATATTATTCTTATAAATATTAGACAACGTTAGAGTATAATCTATTCGAAAGCATTTAATATTCCTCGACCATTTTGTTACGGTACGGAAAGTTCCAGCAATTTGCCTTAAAGCACGATGCTATACACCACTAGTTATTATTTAAATAGTTCAAATAAATATCATAGAAGAAACATTGGCAACGAATATCGAAGTACTATATAAGTGGAGCAAACTTTTCCATTACTTTTATAATTTATTAACACGTAACAAATTGCGTCATATAAAATATTTACTAACGTATGCTACTTGGATATTATGATTTAGTTATCGAAAAATCGCCAATTCAAATTTGTAAAGCATACAAAAGTCAATTCAATAAGTCATATAATTTTATTAACAAATATACAATTCATAATACATGCGTTTAACAAGGTTATATAAAAACATTGGAATATATCATTTTTATAAAACAACTACAATCATGAAATGTAATAGAATCACGTATATAAAAATGTTAAAATGCATATTGTTCGAAATATTGTTCATAAAATAATAATTAAAATATTTTTCAAATATTTTGGATATGCATTATATATTATTATGTATGCAATATAGTTTTTTTTTAATAATCAGTCGTTGTGCGTACATAAACCTTACCTGAAGGCATAGAAACAGTGTCAACACCTTTGGGGAACAATTTGGCTGCTTCCTCATTCTGAACGGATGGCAGGATCATTACTTTTTCACCGGGCTGGGAATAAAAAATTGATAGATTTGATTATTAAATTCATAATACAATATATTATAGGTGTATTTAACTATATTTGAATTGATATTAATTGATAAGCTGTTGTGATGGACTTTTTTTAACTACGTGGCTTTGTTAGAAGGCAACCCAACAGTGAACCTTTCTATTCATGTATTTTATTATTGGAATTTCTGTAATAGGTAAGATTTTTAATTTGATGAATGGTGGCCAAGAAAATGACTACAGACTGCTTGGTATCAGCTTGTCCGAGGTTGGTATTGAATCCCATTTAAAAGAACAAAGCTCTAACCACTAGACACGGAGAAGCCCATTCATAAAACACTATTTATAATTTTATTAAATTAATAACTTTGCAATATATACATCTAAATATAAACCACTTGTATGACAAATAAAGAGATAGAGATATTTTATATATGATTATATGTAACAAGTGGATTTTTTTTTGAATAAACGACTAGAAACTAAATTAGAGAAGATTTCTGCCATTACTCTATATTCTATATCTATATATATTTATGGCCACGATATTTCCTCTTTGCTGAATTTTAATTCAAGTTGGAAATTCATTCAGAGTTGTAATTCAGATTTTTGCATAAGAAAAAATATCAAACGTTTAATTTATATTATTTTTTTCACAATAAAATGAATAAAGGAGTTATTACATATCAATTATCATATTTGCTCTATTGCGTTTATATAAAACCTGTTTAAGTATTAAATTATAGATTTTTTAACAAGATACAAATTTTACTTTTGTTGAAAATTATTTAGATTAAATGATAAATGTTCTTATCACAACTGAAACAAGATATTCGATATTGATTATAATATCTATATATTACTATCTAGAATCAAGACGAACAACAACGATTGAAATTAATTGAAAAAAAAATACCCTTATCTGCAAACTGTGATTTTAAATCCGGTTATAAATGATATTATTA